CGTGGGGATTTTATTGATTGGTGATAATGCCCAGGTTTTCATCGTTTTTGGGGGACCAATAAACATCCTTAAAATGACTGGCGCGATGGCTGGAGTACGGCAGCCTTTCTCCTCCGAGCGCTGCTGGTTCAGAGCGAACTGCGGGGAGAGCGCTGCGGGAGTACAGGTGAGCGGATAGACTGAACACGGCGGGCGGCTGAGTAGTTGATTACAGTGTAAGTGCAGCTTTACGGACGAACCGCACAGTAAATTTCATATCCCGGTATGAAACAAACGAGTCGCGGAAATCATCGTGGCTGGTCGATGAGTTTCTGAGTGTGACGAACGAAGGTGCCGTAAATATCCCGTATTTCTCACACCACCTGTTCTTACTTTTGTCCCCTGGTCTATTTCATCCCCTCCGCCCCCATCTCACGTTCGTTCGTTCACCTGCTCCCCACCTCCACCACCCCAGGCGACGTTTCCCGTATTCTCAAACACAAAGCTTGAAGGGTATGGGGCAAGGTGAGAGTTCATCTGTTAAACTCACTGAAGAATACATAAACTAAAAGCTGGAGTATAGACATTTTTTTATAAGCGTATTTGTGAACCTGGCTCTTAAATTGGATATAATTTCAGAACGTTGCATAACTTTTCTTCAGGTTAACTTAGAAAGTGAGCTATTATTGTTACAGGTTAGTTTTCTAAACTACAAAAAGTAACTGTTAGGGAAGCTCAAACATAAAATATTGGACTGATATTGATATCTGATAGTAACACTGGTGTTATGGAACATTTACCAATATTTAATTTTTTTTTCCCGATTACTCAATTAATTATAAGAAAAATCAATAGATTACTCGATTACTAAAATATTCGTTTACAACAAATCTGTTAAGCTAGATCAAGACTATAATCAGTCAATCAAATTTTATTTGCATAGCACATTTCAGCAGCCAGGCATTTCAAAGTGCTTTTACATCATTACAAACACAAAAATACAAAGTCATGAAACATTGACTCAGCAATCAAAAACATTACATTAAGTCAAGTGCCATCATTAAATTGATGATGACAAGCTAGATCAAGACGATAAAGGCTCATATCAATCTTTAGAAGGATTTTAACCATTCCATGTGTACTACTGAATTATGGCTTATGAGAGGTTGATTCAAGCGCATTGAAACAAAACATGAAATAAAATGTGAAATCCAGACTCACCAATATGAAGATATAGATTTCAAATTTAATTAGCAAATTTAAACATACACTTCAACATTATTCTAAATGTAAAAAAGCAAAATAAAGGTGACATACATATTTGGTGAGCATGAGCAGTTTAAGTTTTCTTGCATGACTTATCACATCATTGCTGGCAAACTGATGTTCAAGAAATTCACATTTTACATTGGGTGTTTGTT